CCTTGCAGAGTTAAGACGAGAGTCCCGCCCCGTAGAGGAAAGCCACCAAAAAGCCCCAAAAGCCCCAGATCGCTCCACTCTTAAGGAAAAGGGGAGGCCCCAGATTCCAGTTCAGGTCAGCCCCGGGGAACTGCAAGGAGCTTAAAGTCCTTTTTAGCATCTGAAATGGAACTTTTTGCAGTATTACTGCAAAATGCAAAAAAGGCATTTCAGCTTCTAAAGTGGAACTTTCTGCAGCATTACTGTAGAATGCAGAAAATGATGTTTAGCATCTAAAATGGACCTGTTTGCAGCATTGCTGTAGAATGCAGAAAGTGCTTTTCAGCATCTAAAGTGGAACTGTCCGCAGCATTCGTGTAAATTGGAGTAAATTGGAAGACTTTTGTGTTTTCTGATGCGCCTTAGGCGGCTGAAGAGAGCCTTGGCCACGACGGAGGAAGTGCAATTGTTGATACACTTGACCTTTTTAGTTCCTTTTTAGGAGTTAGTGCAATTGCTGCTGAATGCAGGCTGGAGCCGGCAACAAAATTCCTCTGTCGGGCTCTTTCAAGACACCAAGTGGCAGTTCTTAGGGACTCAAATTCTTCGCAGACCTAAACCTGAACTTCTGAACTCAATATAATCCTTTAAGGAATTTCTGCTACTTCCCAACAGCCGGGCTGCTGGGGTTGTGTGTTTCACAATATCGCTCTAAGACCTGCAATAATATTGGAGGAAGTACTAGTCAAAATAAAAAGCCATATGCAACTTATCTACTGGTCAGAATATAAAGCCATATGCAACTTATCTGCGCATAGAGGCAGTAGTGGTTTGCAGATTATTTGTTGTTCAAGAAATTTCCTCCTAGGAGCAGGAAAGTTCTCAGGCATGTTAGCTTTCAACGAATGAAGATGCATTTTCCTGCGATGATTGTTAATTAATTGAAGAAGATTCATTTATTTACACTTATTATTCTCTTTGCATGCAACTTTCTGGCTTACTTTGAAGCGGAAATGGAGCATCTTCAAGAAAGTTGAATTCAGCCAAACAAGAAGCCACTGGTAAACTCGACCGAGTCTAGTGCATGCGATCCTTTCTGGGGTGATCTATCCTTTCCGAATTACGTAATTAAGTTTACTTGTAAAGTTCCTGGTTTTATTAGATGCTATTTATGTTTGAAAGCGAGAAAATGGGAAAAAGTAATTAACACCGCGGCGGAGGCCACAGGGTCTTGTTCTTTCGAGCTGTGGGGCTTCGGGGCTGTCTTAATGCCACAATTTTCCTTCCTTTTCCATATTTTGTTTCTTTCTTCTTCATAAATTCCCAAAAGTACATTTTGCGTCAATTTGCATGCACTTCGCGGCGGCTTCAGCGGCCCAGTGCAGCCCTCTGTCGGCTCCGGCCCGTGCAGCCAGCCTTCTTCAGGCGAAACTTGTCCTTCGTAGATTAAAATAGTTTAATTTTCGCAAATTAATTCAATTATTTGTTTAATTTATGCAAATTGATTTAATTTTTAGCCAAAGTTCTGCTATTTTGGCAGAGGCGCTGCTCTTAAGCCCAGGGAGCAGCAAAACTCAATGCAAGAAACTCGAAGTTGCATCTCGTTTCGTTTCGGCGAGCCCCGTAGCAGCAGCTAGCTGAGGGCTCAGGCTTTACTCTCTAGGGTTTAGGGTTTAGGGTTTAGGGTTTAGGGTTTAGGGTTTGCCGCCGCTCATGAGCGCCTTCTCCTCTTTTTGCGTCCCCGAGGTAGAGGGCTGCGGCCCCGTGCGCAGCGGGCGAGGGATCTCGAAGCACTTGGTGGCTATAGAGTCTGTGGGGTGCCTGCAGCTCAGCAGCAGCAGCAGCAGCAGCAGCAGCAGCAGCAGCAGCAGCGGCGAGCCGGCGTGTCTGCAGCACATCGTTGGCAGCAACTTGTCAACGGATGTCTGCTGTATCGACAGCAGCAGCACTTTGAACTTGATAGACGCGCAGCAGCTGAGGTGTACGTACACCCTAGCCAAGGCCCACGCAGCGCCAGTTACTTGCTGCTGCTTCCTGCACAGCAGCAGCAACTTGCTGCTGACATCTTCTCAAGACGGGGCAGTGAAGCTGTGGGACTTGCGGCAGCAGCACAGGCCGCCCCCTGCTGCTGCTGCTGCTGCTGCTGCTGCTGCTGCTGCTGAGGCCACTGTGCAAATTGCCCCGCCCGGCAGCCGCGCAGCAGACTTGTGGGCCCTCGCAGTTAAAGGAGATGACTTAGTGTTTGCTGCTGCTTTTAAAAACACAATAAAGGGTTTTGACCTGCGGCAGCAGCAGCAGCAGCAGCAGCAGCAGCAGCAGCAGCAGCGGCCGAAGCTGAAGCAGCGGCGCAGCAAAAAGCTCCTCTGGGAGCTGCTGCTGCACGGCGACACTGTGACGGCGCTGCAGTTCCACCCAGTGCAGCAGCAGCTGCTGCTGTCGGGGGGCGAGGACTCTCTGGTGTGCGTGGCGGACACTGCAGCAGCCAGCAGCAGCAGCAGCAGCAGCAGCAGCAGCAGCAGCAGCAGCAGCGAGGAGGGGGGGGCCCTCGTCTCCTGCTTCTCGCAAGAAAGAGCTGTCAAAAGCCTTTCTTTGGTGGGCCCTGGGGCCTCCTGTGTCTGCATTTGCAGCGCAATGGAAGATGTGGGGTTGTGGCAGCTGGAGGGGCTGCAGCAGTACGCTGCAGCAGCAGCAGCAGCAGCAGCAGCAGCAGGAGCAGCAGCAGCACCAGATGCTGCAGTGGCTGCACACCGCAAAGCCGAGTGGCTCTCCATTCGCAGCCACCCACAAGTCCGAGAAGGAGAAAGCTGCGGATATATAATTAACACTTTTTATGACGAAGACCTCGGCCGCCTCTTCATACTCGCGGGTGTGCAGGTGTACATACACCTCAAGACCTACGCATGCATGCATGCGTTATTTCTTTTTGTTTCTTTTGATTATTTCTTTTTATTTCTCTTTTACCTCTTTGAAATCTCTGCTTTCACTTCCTTTTATTCCCATATCTTTCTCTTTTGTTTCTTCTAATTCTTTTTACATCTTTATTTCTTTTTATTGTTTATTCCCCTTTATTCCCTTTTTAATTATTTCTTTTTATTTCTTTTTATTTCTTTTTGATCATTTTTTCTTTTTCATTTCTTTTTTTAATCTTTTCTTATTTCTTGTTATTTCTTTTAATTATTTCTTTTTATTTCTTTTTATTTCCTTTTTAATTATTTCTTTTTATTTCTTTTTATTTCTTTTTATTTCTTTTTATTTCTTTTTACTTTTTATTTCTTTTTATTTCTTTTTATTTTTTATTTCTCTTAGGGTCTGTCTCTGGGCAGCTGCTGCTGCTGCATGCCAATCTGGACGGGGTGGAGCCCGCGGCGGTTTTCCGCAGCCAAAATGGGCAGGGCCACTGTGGGGTTATTCGGTGGGCCCCAAACCCTAAACCCTAAACCCTAAACCCTAAACCCTAAGCCCTAAGGCCTAGAATCACCTGAGACCCTTTCGCTTTCCGCAGCCAGAACGGGCAGGGGCTCAGCGGGGTTATTCGGTGGGCCCTAAACCCCAAACCCTAAGCCCTAAACCCCAAACCCTAAACCCTAAACGCCAAACCCTAAGCCCTAAACCCTAAAGCCTAGAAGAACATCTAGCCCTTGGCTTTGGCCGGCTAAACTCTCGGCCGCAGGAGCTGCAGGAGCTCCGGTGTACGTACACCTGAAGACAAACCCCACAGCTGCCTCTTAGTAGATAAGAGGGCGGCTAGCTGCAGCAGCAGCAGCAGCAGCAGCAGCAGCAGACTTTTCGGGTGTATGTACACAGGGGAGCTGTCAGTACAGCTGGAAAGGGAACTCACGGATTTGGACTTCTCACTTGTGGCGAAGACGGGAGAGTTTGCGCCTGGCGACAAGTAAAAAGATATTTAATTAAATTTGAATAAATTTAAATGGATTTAAATGGATTTAAATAGATATAAGTAAATATAAATGAATAAAATAAATGTAAATAGACATATGAGTGGAATTTTACGTGTTTATTTGTTTATTAGTTTAAGTGTGGGGCTTTTTGTATATTATATATATATATATATATATATATATATATATATATATATATATATATACGTTTACCCATATTATTACAAATATATTAGTGTCTTCTATGTACATTATGTATATTTATTATAAATTATATATTTTTTATTTTATATATGTTTAGGGTGTGTTGCGGATATGTTAATGTCTTCTATTATTATAAATTATATTTCTATTATTTTATGTGTTTTGTATGCGCATATGCTATATTTTAATTTAACTGCTGAATATGTTAATATATATATATATATGTATATATATGTTGATTATGCATGCATAATATATACATTATGCATGCGTAAGCAACATATAGATATATATGTACAATATATATATATATATTATGCATGCATAAGCAACATCTAGATATATATATATACATTAACATATTTATAATATATATTCTTGTACATATTTATAAACAAATATATTTCTATCTTTAATAAATGTGCATTCATATTTCACGCATGCAAAATGCACAAACGCGCATTTGTGCTTTTGTTTTGCTGCAGCGCGGCTACGAGAGCCAGACCAGCAGCAGCAGCAGCAGCAGCAGCAGCAGCAGCAGCAGCCGCAGCCGGCACGCTGTGCAGCCCTACTAAGGGCAGCAATTTCTTTTCTTTGTTTAATTCTTTTCACTTCTTTTTTTCAAAAGAATTTCTTTTTGCTGCTGCGCTTTTGCCTTTTTAATGTTTTGCATTTGCTTCCCAAAAAGCTGCATTTAGGTGCCTTTCTCAGGTGTATCTACACTGCTAGTCAGTTGCTGCTGCTGCTGCTGTTGCTGCTGCTGCTGCTGCTGCTGCTGTTGCTGCTGCTGCTGCATGCAGGCGGGCTGCGCAGCAGGCCTTTCGCTCTTGTCTATATAGGGGGTTTATTTATTTAAACTTGGGGCTTGAGAAGCACAATAAATCGCATGCAAGCTGCAGCAGCAATCTGCAGCAGCAGCTACTCAGCTGCTGCTGCCACAACTGCATTTGTTATGTCCGCAACAAACAAAACAGGCAAAAGAGTCCCCTCTGTCGCAGCTGCACTGCGCTGCTGCTGCTGCTGCTGCAGCTGCTCTTGCTGCTGCTGCTGCAGCTGCTCTTGCTGCTGCTGCTGCAGCTGCTCTTGCTGCTGCTGCTGCTGCTGCTCTTGCTGCTGCTGCTGCTGCTGCTTGCTTCTCTGAACTCCGTAGAAAAGGAGGAAAATGTGCGAAAAACGGCTGCGCAGCATGCAGAGCCACCTGGAGCTTTCGAGGCAGCAAAAAGAAACCAAACCCTCACCCCCCACCCCCGCTGGTTTGCTGCTGCTGCAGCGCCAGCAGCAGCTGCTGCAGCAGCTAAAAGTCTCAGCTACCACGGCGCAGCGGGGCAGCGGTTCGCTCGGCTGGGGGCCCCGCAGGGGCCCCCCACGGCCCTGCCCGGGCCCCTCCCCGTTTGCCCCTGCAGCTGCAGCAGCAGCAGCAGCAGCAGCAGCAGCAGCAGCAGCAGCAGCGCTGAAGGGGGAAGTTGGACCCCTTAATGTATTTTCTTCTCTTTGTTTAATGGTGGCTGCAACTGCGCGGAGGAGAAGAGCTAAAAATAAGCCATAATGTCTCCTGTCCGTTTGCTGCTGCAGGCTGCGGGGCCCCTCTGTGTGCTGCTGCTGCTGCTGCTGCTGCTGCTGCTGCGCGGACGGCCGCAGCCACCTCGACGGCTGCAGCAGCAGCAGCAGCAGCAGATCGGCAGCACTGCCCACAGCCAACGGCAGCTCCCCCAAAACTTGCAAAAAAGAATTTACAGAAGCTGCCAAACCCAAGGCCATAGCCCCTCCGGGGGCCCCGGGGCCCCAGGGGCCCCCGGGGCCCCCGGGGCCCCCGGGGCCCCTGGGGCCCCCGGGGGCAGCAGCAATTTATAGCTAAGTCTTCTGAAAGCCAAAAAGCTTTCTTTAGCAGCACAAATATCCACCTCGCAGTGTTCTGCGGCGCTGCTCTGCTGCTGCTGCTGCTGCTGCAGCAGCCGGGGCTGCGCGCTGCGCTGCTGCTGCCCTTGCTGCTGCTGCTGCTGCTGCTGCTGCTGCTGCTGCTGCGGTAGGGGCCCCCGTGGGGGTCCCCTGGGGGCCCCCGCAGAGAGGCCCCCGGGGAAGCCCCTAGAGGGCCCCCCTAAGGGAACTCCCGGGGGGCCCCCAGGAAAGGCTTCATGGGGGGCCCCCAGGGGGGCCCCCAGGGGGCCCCCTAAAGAGGCTTTTGAGGGGCCCCTGGGGGGCCCCCTGGTGATGTTGTGTGGGCCCTGCCACTGGGCCAAAGGCTGCAGCAGCAGCGGGAAGAAGTTCCTTTGCTGCTGCTGCACATCTGTTTTGCTGCACAGCAGCAGCCCACCTGCCTGTGGGGCCCTTTGGAGGCCCTGGAGGCCTAAGCGCAGCAGCAGCAGCAGCAGCAGCGACGAGCTGCATGCGCTGCATGCACAGGGCATGCTCCGCCCTGCTGCTGCTGCTGCTGCTGCTGCTGCTGCTGCTGCTGCTGCTGCTCTTCCCGCGACTGTACATATTGGAGGGGCTGCGGCGCACTCGCTGCACAGCGGCAGCAGCAGCAACAAAGTTTCGGACCTGCTGCTGCTGCTGCTGGCTGCTGCATGCGTTTTGCAGCAGCTGTTGCTGCTGCTGCTGGCCCCACATCCGGGGGCCCCTGGGAAGGCCCTCAAGAGACTCTCAAAAGCAAACACTTGGTATTCTGCCCAGCTGTGGCTGCTGCTGCCAGCAGCAGCAGCCCCTGCTGCAGCAGCAGCAGCTGCAGCAGCAGCAGCTGCTGCTGCGCCTCGCTGCTGCGCGCACAGCATAGGCAACTACGGGGGAAGCCATCAGCAGTCTTCGGGGTCTTTAACTGAAAACAACTCTTGCCCCCATCGAGTTCAATAAAAACAAAAATAATTGAAGTTAAATGGTATTATTTGTCGCCAAAGACTTCAAAGTTGTCCGGGGTAAAAAGACAAAAAGTCACTTCGCAGCGAAACTTGAACTGGGGCCCCCCTGGCTGGCTCGCAGGGAGGGGCCCCTGGCGCTGCGTCTTCGCCGCGAAATAGACAAATAAGGAATTAAATTAAACATAAAAGAGAAAATAAATATAAAAAACTGAAAAAATGGGGAGTAGGGAGAAGCAAATGGGCAAAAAGCAGCAGCTTTGCATGCGGCGCTCTCGAGGCAGCAGCAGCAGCGGCGGCTGGGCTTTTGCCTTCTGCTGCGTCTCAGAAAGTGAAACTCGAAGTGAAATTTGAAGAATTAAATTAAATTAAATTTATATTTTGTTTTTGGATTCTGAAAAGCTTTTGTTGGGCCACTTGGAGCTGCTGTTTGGCCGCGCATGCAGAGGCCGGACTGCTCGTGTTCTGCCGCCGCGCGCAGCAGCGCAGCAGCAAAGCTGGAAAGCAGCTTTTTTCTTGAAATTTTATTCTAATTTTTGCAAAATAAAGAAACTGAGGGCTCTACTATTCTTGTTGCTGGCATTTGGCGCTGCAGCTGGGGTGTACGGACCGCAGCGAGCGCCAGCTGCACACAGCTGACCCGCTAGCAGCAGCAGCAGCAGCAGCAGCGGCAGCAGCAGCAGCAGCAGCGGCAGCAGCAGCAGCAGCGGCAGCAGCAGCAGCGCAGCATCCATGCTCATTTCAGAAGCCCCGAGAGGCGCAGGGCCTCTCTTGGCGGCAGGCTGGCTCGCTGGGTTGCCCGAGGGCCTCACTGTGTCGCCCGAAGCTTTAGGGTTTAGGGTTTAGGGTTTAGGGTTTAGGGTTTAGGGTTTTGGCGGGCTATGCGGATTCCGGCTGTTGTGGGGGGCCCCAATGAGTCTGCTGCTGCGGGGGCTTTCTAAAGCCCCTGCAACTTGGCCTTTTTTTAAAAACATTTCATCTCTTCAAAGTTCCCCACTGGGGCCCCTCTGCATGCAAAAAGGCCCCGCGGGCTTCAGTACCCTCTTGGGGGCCCCCCTGGGGGCCCCCCGGGGGGCCCCCCCAAGAGGGCCCCCGGGGCCCTGGCCTCCCTCCTGCGGGGCCCGCCTTCTCTCGGGGGGCCCCGGGGGCCCCCGCGGCTCCGGGGGCCCCAGGGGCCCCTGGGGC